TTGAGGCACAGAGGGCTTAAGTGACTTGACTGGTTGAAAGGGGAGAAGGTGGTAGAGAGGGGAGGGTGGTTAAGAGGAGAGGAGAAGGTGGTAGAGAGGGGAGGTGGGACTCAGTGGAAAGGGAGAATTGTAATGATTGCTTATGAGTTACTGAGACTTTTTAATGCATTTTTTTTGTGGAGTGAAATAAAGATGGTCCTGAACCTGAAAGCTATTATTATTCTTAGTACTTGTAGGGGAGCTGGCAGCCCTTTTATCCACATCCATGGAGACCAATATTCAGAGATTTTTCCCAGAGTAAACTCTGAATAAGAGCAAAACGGAACAAAGAAATGTGATTAGGGTTGGGGGGAGGCTGCCTGAAGGTTAGTCTTGGTCCAAGTAAAGCCAGAGCTTTGGTGCTGGGGTCCAGGTTACATTGAAATGGAATTGGCTTGTGGTTGATTAGCTCCTAGGAAGTGCATCAACTCAGAGACAAGAGGACTTCCCCAACTTCGTAGCTTCATTTTGTATTCTGCATACCTGGTTTCTGTTTTGTATTGCAGAGAAACAGGAAGGTTTTTTTTTTCTTTTACCATCGTTTGGGCTTTAACAGATGTTGGTTGACTTTGGAAGTTGCCTGGCCTGCTTTAAGATAAAGCTGCTGAATCATTCTGAGTCACGGACTTGGATAAACAGAGAGATAATTGGAAACATCTGGGCAGACAGTGAGGGGCAGAGAAGCAGCAGAGAGGGGAGGGGGCCGGGCTGGTCCAGGAGAAGCGGAGACACAGCTGAGCCAAAGCTGCTCCTGCCTGGGAGAGATGAGGGCCAGTGGATAGGAGTGGGTGGGGGTATGGGACACAGGTGGCAAAGATGCTGGTGGGGAGAGGATAGTGTGACGCTCTCGGCTGGGTCACTGTGGGCGAGGCACTCTGGAACCTGACTTGTTAGCCCAGAGAGGTTGTAAGTGATGGAAAGGCCAGAAGGAAAACCTGCAGCTCTTAGAAATCGTCTCCCCCAACTCTTAATAGTGGGCACCAGTGTGAACGTCTGCCTCAGTGATTAATTATGCCCTGCCCTGCATCCCCTCATCTTCGTTGTTCATAAATCTGTTATTAAACATTCACTTCTGCTGTCTTTTCATCTAAGCTCTGGGAGGACATAGAATGGGCTGCATGCTTCTCTGTGTCCCCCCACAGTGCCTGGACCAGTGCCTTGCAAAATTTGTGTTGATTTTTTAAAGTTGAAGTCTTATAATTCTTGAGTTAATTGAGAGGTTTTATTCTTCTTCTCATAAGACTTCTTGTCACATGGTATATTGATGACAATTAGAAGAAGAGGACAAAGGAAAACCACGCGTGGTTTTTGAACCTCCCTCCCCTCCCCCTCCCTCAAGTCCATTCTACCTGAAAGTAGATGCTTCCAGCTGCCACCATCTCAACTCCGCTGATCCTGGTCTGGCTGAGGATCTCCTTGGGGTCCACCAGGCTCCCCAAGGTTTCATCTGTGCTGTTCCCATTCCCTTTACTCTTGGCTGAAGCTCAGCTGCTTGTCTGACACTTCCTGTCCATGTCTCTGGCCCATTTGGTGGCTCTCTTTCTCCTTTACCTCCTTCCTTCCTCCTCCGTGGATTTTCTCTCTCCCTCTCCTCTTTTTCTCTGCATTGGTTCTCACTCCCTCTTGTTCTCGCATTTAGCCATCTAGAATCTCTCCCTTGTCTCTGTCTCCCTGGCTGCATCTCTCTTGGGCTGTTCTCTCTCTTCTAGGGTTTTCTCTCTAGCTGGGTGTGTCCTCTCTTTATGGATTCTTCTTGGTTCTTTCTTTTGGATTTCTCTCTTGTTCTCTCTTTCTGGGTTCTCTTTTAGCTGTCTTTTTTCCCTTCTCTTTTACTCTTTACTCTGAATTCTCTTATTGATCTCTCTCTCTCTCTCACTCACTCACACACACACACACACGCACACACTCTTTCTCTTTCTCTTTTGGGTTCTTCTCTTTCTCCTTCTGGGTTTTTTTGACCCTCCATAGTCCAGTGTTACTTTTTCCCTTTTCAACCCCAGGCTATGTGGGCCACAGCTTCTTAGGTCTCTGATGTTTCCTACCCAGAGGACCCCTTGTCATCTAGAGGGAGATTTTCACATACCCATTCCTGGAACACAAGTCATACAGACTCCTCTCCTCCTAACTTAGAGGCCTTCAATTGGTTTACAACTTTAAATGAGAATGAATTTGTTATTTGTGTTGCTGATATAAACAGCTCAATTCTGTATATGAAACATTGGGCAGTGTGATGTGAAATGCAGATTTAATAGCATCTAATAGTAAGGGATCTCAAGAATTCATCTGATCTAGCCCCTCCCTTTGGACTATACAATGATCCTCCTCAGTCTCACTCTGTTAATCTATAAAATGACAGTGACTCATCCACGTTCATATAGCTTGCAGGTAGCAGAAGAGAAACTGGAATCCACATCTCTCCCTACCCAGTGTAGCATTTTTTCCCAGCATGCTAGGCTGTCTCTCATGTGTCTGGGTTTCTCAGTTGTTAAGGGATGAAAGGAAGCTTAAACCATGATGTTTGCTATACTGTTATTACCAGAAGATGTGCAGATCACCAGGGGACAGGGGATCAGCTACTTTGATATCTGTGATATCTTTGGTGTGAGTCCTCTCTTCAAAGGGACAGATCAATCTAGAATTTATTAAGTACCTATTTTGTTCCAGGCACTGTGTTATAAGTGGAGGGTACAAAGACAAAAACAAAATAGCTTCTGCCCTCAGGGAGCTTGAATTCTAGCAGGAATACCATATGCACATATATAGTTATATGTAAAACACAGTAACATATATTTGTATTTCTCTCTCTCTCTCTCTCTCTGTTGCCTAATATAACAATGACTGGCCCATGTGTGGCACGGGTAGATACACCATATCTGGACTCTGGCTTATTGTAACTACATCTAAGGGAGACTATAATTTCTATCTCTGTGGAGAGTGGGAGAAGGATTGTGCGTGTACTGGCAGGAGCCTACCTGGGTGATGCAGGCAGGAGCTAGGGCTGATGTGGCTGAGCAATTTCTCCTTCACTTTCCTCTCACTAAGAGGGGCATCAGGCTAGACATATCTATCGACTAGATATCAAGTATCTATAGTCTAGGGGTATGTTGCTCTCTCTTAGGGGTTTAAATTAAGACGCAATTTCCCTGAATGCTCTAAAAGAGAAGGTAACTGTTAGCTTGTTACTCTTGTTAGCCTAACTCTCTCCCACCAAATGCTGGGTATACAACCATCAATAGTTAGTAAGCCCTTTAAAAAAATGAAAACAAGCATTATATAGAAATTGAAGAAATTATGCCAGTTAGATTAAACAAAAGAATACGCAGGAGTAAATGTGGTCTTTGGGAGCGAGATAAGATGTCATCTCTATGAAGGAGAGGACAGTTTCCCCAGGGAGAGTCTGCTCTAGGCAGTTTCTAGGATTGTAGACACTGGGAGTCAAGGGACAGACTAGAACTTCTAGATCTAAGTAGATGGTGTCTCTGCAAAGTAGTCCCCTCGGGTGACTGTGTACTTACTCTCGTGTGGCTGTTCTTGCTTAAAACATTTTGGGGAACTCTTAAATTCAACTCAGCATTTATTCTCTGCTTCTTAGGTTGCACTGTGTCAGACGCTGGGGTTACAAAGACACAAATGGAGCTGTCCTTGTTCTTACAGAACAGAGTTTACTTTCTTCTGGAATCGACTTTTCTGTGAATTTCCTTTGGAACTAGTTTTTTGGGCTCCGAAGGAAACCAGCCTAATTTTCCCCATTAAAGCGACACTTTCCTTCTGACCTAAAGTAGAATCGTGGGGCTTGGTCTCTCATCTTTCTCATCCGTTTTGGTGCTGAACCACTTTTGACTTTCCCTCAAATCAAATTCACCATTGAAAGTGAACAATTTCCAACCAGGATCAAAAGAACGTGCCACAGGCCCTGAAGGCAGTTTCAAAAATGTCGTAAATGACAAGAACCTCATAGGAATTAGCCTTCCAATAATTTAGATATTTTCATTTGAGCAGAATGTAAGCTCCTCAAGGGCAGGGACAGTTTTGTTTTGTCTCTGTGTCCCCAGGACCTAGCGCAGTGCCTGGCACATAGTAGGTGCTTTTTGAACTGAATTTTTGGTAATTTCTTGATATATTGCCTGAGGCCCATTTCACTCACATGAACCGGTACAAATGCCAAGGTGCAATTTTTTTTTTTTATCTTCAGAACAAATATTCTTAATCGACACGTGTTTATTGTGAATTAACTGCCTACAAGTCACTGGTGAGAGACTCTTTGGCAAGAGAAATCCAAGACACAGTTCATGCTTTACAGGAATTTGCAGTCTAGTTGGGAGTTGATTAATACACATGTATCAATGAAATACAGTAATTCAACAAAGGTATATCAAGCACCTTCTGTGTGTAGATTTCTTGGACTTAAGACTGGAGCAGGTACTCTGAGATCCAGTAACACCCACCTTCTTGCTCTTTCTCCTACATGCCTTTTCTCCATCTCCCGATGCTATGCCTTTGCACTGGCTGTGTCTCATGCCTAGAATGCTATCCTTTCTCGCCTATGTTTTGTGGCTTTCTTGGCTTCCTTTAAGTCCCAGCTCAAAACCTACCTTCTGCAAGAGGTTTTTTTCTAGTCCTCCCTTCTGAGATTACCTCCATTTAAAGTTGTATATGTATGATGATTGTGCTTCCCTCATCCTAAATATTATGCAAACTTTGAGTTAATAGTTTAAGTGAACTAAGAGTTCTGTGTACCAAAGGGGGTAAAGCTTAGATTTTGGTTTTTCTTTTTTGATTTCCAGTGCTGTAGATGTTGCAATGCTTGTGGGTCTCTGCTGTAATAAGGAACTGATTTTTTTTCCTCTGAAGGTACTTTCTGTTGAATTAAGTTCGATTCTGTTAAGCGTAATTTGCTTGCATTGTATCTTTGTGTTGATTTTTTGCTTCTTTTTTTGTTTTTCATTGGCCATGCTGTTCAGTTTTTGGATGCCAGGAGAACAAAGGTTTGTCCACTCTTTGCAAGTCATTTGTTTTGCTAAGCCTAGCCCCCCTCATCCATTGGGTGTGTTTGTGTGTGCATTTGTTTTCCTTTGGCTTACAGATCCAGTAATCCTGTTTCCTAAGCTTGTCTGCAGCTTTGTCCTTGTGAAGGCATCTCTGTGTCCACACCTTAGGAACGCTGTTATTGGCAGCAGCGTGTGACCATTTATCTCTGAAAAAGAAGAGATGGGAGGAAAGGATCTTGGATTTTGGTCAACATAAGGGGCTCCATCCAGCAATGCTGTTAGCAGATATTGGCCCAACGGTGACTTAGTATCTAAGACACATAGACACTGTCTTTTGGGCCCTTTTTTTTGGGACCTGCTCCAGAGTTTAAGTGACTTATCCAGGGTCACACAGCTAGTTAGCATCAGAAGCAGCAGGGGCTAAGCCTTGTGATTCCTCCCTCTTAAGGCTGGCATTATAACAAAGGCATTTTTTTTTTTGCATCATGGACCCATTAGGCAGGCAGTCTGGTAAAGCCTGTGGACCCCTTCTCAGAATCATATTTTTAAATGCATAAAACTAAAGTGCACAGGGTTACAAAGGAAACCTACTATGTTAAAATACAGTATATGTTACATGTATACTGTATAGGTATAATAAATATATACAGCATAAATACTCCATCTATTTACCACGCACACACATATACATCATAATATATGCACACACACACACACAGACCCCGGGGTAAGAAACTTTGCTCTGTAGTCTTTACTGAATGACTTAGAAAACAAGGAATGCTGAGTCTTTGAGCTTTGTGGACATCTAGAAGGTCTATGTGTGGATGTTTCACTTTTAACCCTTTCTACCACCTAACTTACAACTTTTTTTGTTTATTTCACTTGTAACCAACACTAACAGCATTTTTTGTGTGTATGTGTACATTATATTTTCTCAAGACATCTGACAAGTGTCAACTAATTTTCCACATTTCCATTTGCTAATAACACAACCGAGGCCATTTGGTAAGACTCCATCCCGGGTTCTCTGGATCTCATGACTAACATGACATGTTCACAATGGGCAAAGATGGGAACATCTTTTGGATCTATGCTGATTCTCCCTCCCCCTCTTCTTTTGCTTCTTCCTCCTTTGTAGCACCTGCAGTTGACAATCCAGGCTCTTCAAGATGAGCTCCGAACCCAGAGAGACCTTAATCATCTCCTCCAACAGGAGAGTGGCAACCGCGGAGCCGAGCACTTCACCATCGAGCTGACGGAGGAGAATTTCCGAAGGCTCCAAGCTGAGCATGACCGCCAGGCTAAAGAGTTGTTCCTCCTGCGGAAGACCTTAGAAGAGATGGAGCTGAGGATTGAAACCCAGAAACAGACTCTCAATGCCCGCGATGAATCCATCAAGAAACTCCTAGAAATGTTACAAAGCAAAGGTTTGCCTTCGAAAGGCATGGAAGACGACAATGAGAGAACTCGAAGGATGGCTGAGGCAGAATCTCAGGTGAACCATTTAGAAGTGATCTTAGACCAGAAGGAGAAGGAAAACATCCATCTGAGAGAGGTAAGGGCAGTACTGTTGCTTCTGATTGTATCAATGATGGGGATAACATCTGGGTCATTTTTCCATCTTGGAAGGTAGTGGTGGCTTTTTTCCCTTGGGGCATCCATTTCCTACCGTCCATGCCTTCTTATTGGCTTAGGACAAGCATGTTTTTTGAATAAGATTTTTTTTTCTCACTGCATATTCATACTTTAGTTGATGTATACTTAATAAGAATCCAAGACTGGGAAGCACATGTTATGGTAAGACTGGTTACAATGGGGCCCTTCCCTGCCCCCCCTCCCCCCCACAGTGGTCTTACTTTCAGCATTGATTCCCTATGGCTCTAGTAATTGGCAAGTTTCAACTCTTCATCCAATCTCAGGGGCAGTAGGGAACATAGGTAATTGTTCGAACAATGAATGCAAATATTTTTACAGCTGAATTTCCTAGGCAGGACACTCAATGCATGGGCCCAGTATGACTGACAAATGAAATGGTGTGGCTGTATTTTGAATGTTATCTCTTTAGGGTAATCTACATTTACTTCTGTCAAAGGCAGAACATTCCCCTGTTGTCTCTCTCTGCTTTCTTCCTCTTGGTATGTTATTTACATACCTTTGTTGATTCTCCTTCAGTGAATGCAAGGTTCCTTCCTGTCTTTCATGACTTATTCAGTGATTTAATCAGATGGCATGATGCTTGGTGGTGGAGATAAAAAGACAGCTGTGAGATGACTGGTGCCTTCCAAATGCTCACATTCCAGCAGGGGAGACAGCACTGATGTGTCTATGAAGAGGCAGATCACATAGAAAGCTGGCACAAAGTCACCATGTGAGGAGTGGAGTTAGTAGCTGAGGACCCTGGAAACTACAACAACCCACCAGGAAAGGTGCACTTGAGCTGAATCTTAAAGGCAACCGAGGGATTCCAGGAGGTGGAGATGAGGAGATGGAGCATCATGGGTGATGAGCAACAAGGCCAGTTTTGGCAGGGAATAATGAGAAATGTCAGGAAAGATGGGATGAGGCCAGATTGTAAAGCGCTTTAAATGCCAAGTCAAGGACTGGGTTTTTCTTTTTTAAGGATGGTAGACCTCCCTTTCCCACACCTCAAGTCACTGTCACCTCTCCAGGCCTCAGTTTCCTCATCTGTAAAATAAGGAGGTTGGACATTTGAGACCCCTTTCAGTTCTAAATCATTGTTTCCTCTTTTCTTGAACCCAAAGCTAACTTAAACTATATTTTCAGAGATTGCTTGGCCCTGACTATTTAGGACATAAGGAGGAGTTGTATGTAAATACAGAGCTGACAGAGAGGGCATCTAGAGGATTGGGGGACTTTTCAAGTAGTACTTAGATACTTTTGGAGTAGTGAATAGAGGTGGCTTCCTCCAATGACCCAGATCTCAACCTGTCTGTAGGGAACCATAGATAGGGTAGATGGGACTTATTGGATCCAAAAAATGTGTCACCGTAAAGTCTACCTGGTCAAGGGCCTGTTAGCACTGAGCTGCCCTTGGACAGCAGGCGTACTCTGCCATTGGGTCCGTCCCACCTAAAGTTACTCTCCAAAAAAATAGCTGAGGGAAGATATGATAGCTCTGGTTAAATACCACCTGTGTTCATGTTTAGATCCACAAGGAATGATTGTAGAAGATAGCAGACACTCACATTGGCTCTCGGCATGGGAGGCCAAAGGAGTCCCAAGAGATGAAGAGGGGAATTATGAGACATTGACCTACCAACATTCCCCTGTAGGGAGAAGGATTGGCTGAGAACCTTGGAAATTAAAAAAAAAATAGTAGTGGGGAATTTAAGCATTCTTAAGTCTTCTTCATGTTCATTTTTTTTTTTTAAAGATCTGGGCTTATGATGCCATTGATATTGGAGAGCTCCCAGTATGGAAAATCTCCAGTGCTGCAAATTAGCAAATGACCTACAAATGACTTTATTTCACTGAGGATAAAATTCAACTCCATGGTACAATGGAAAAGGTACACCACTGCTCTGGGTTCAGAGGACCCGGATTCAAATCCCACCTTAGCCACTTACAGCTAGGTAGCTTTGGACACTTAGACTCCCTGGGCCTTAATGCCATCCTTGAGCCCCCAGAACTTTTCATCACATGTTTTGTATTTTCCTCCATTTGATTCTCTCCCCCACCTCCCCTTTAATAGGATGCAAGCTCTTTGAAGGTAGGAACAGGAATTGCAGTGCTCAAGAACAGTTGGACGGGAGAGAAGGGATTAAGGAGATGTAGGGTCATGAAGGCAGGGAGGTGGTGCATTATATAGAGGGGCTGACTTGGAGTCAGGAGGATCGGCCTGAGTTCAAATCCTGCCTTAGATATCTGTTAACTGGATAAAGCAGGGTTATCTGTGTTAACCTGCCTGTGCCTCAGCTTCCTAAACTGTAAAATGAGGACAATAATAGCACCTACCTCCCAGGGATGTTGTGAGGATTAAATGAGGTGATCACAAAAGTAAAGCACTTTATAAACCTCAAAATGCTATACAAATCCTGGATATTACTCTTGTGTTGTTGTTATTGTTATTGCCATGTCAGGAGCCTGGAGGGCTCTCGTGGAGCTTGGACCTCCTTCTTTTCCTCTACCAGATACCTCCCCAGCTCCCTAAACGAGAAGGGCTCACACCTTCTCTGTTGTCCTGGGGAGAAGGTGTAAGGGGGTGGTCTTTGCATTTAACTGACTAGCCACATTCCATCCTTTCACCTTGATAACCTCTTCATTCTTTCCTGGCCTTTGTGTAGTCCACATCTCCTCTGGTTTCTTGGTTTTGAAGTCAATGGGTCAAGAACTTGGAGCCATCCCAATGCTGATCTCTCTTTGACTGTGTGTGTGTCAGACTTTTCGCATCAAATCTGGATTCATCTTAAAAGTTAAACTGTGTTTCTTGGGAAAAGAGTTGCCCTCTTGGGCACCAGCCCCAGGAGGAGGAATTGTCTTTCCTCCCTCTGTAGAACCAACTTAGGGAGTTGTGGGAATTTGAAGGAATGAAATCCTGGGTTCCAGAAGTAGGAAGGGGGCAGCTTCTTGATGGGTATGTGAGAGCTGCTAAAGGTTACTTGTGGGGAAAGATTGAAAGGGAACTGGTCCAGCGAGTAACAAGGAGGCTTTCGGATGTGCTTCTGTAAAGCAATTCCTCTCACTGGCCTGACAGCTGATATTTCAACAGGAAATGATGAGCTCTGAAGTGGTGCCATTGATCTGGTGAGCGCCAGGAGAAGGCATCACATGTCACTGTGGAATGAGAGACAGAGACCTGAGCTCTGAGAGCCCTTGCCAGCCCAGTGCTCAAGGAGCAGTGATGGGAGGGGCCCATCCAGGACAGCATAGAAAAAGTTTCTGTTGGGTCTTAGTGGATTTTTCTCCATTAATAATAATAATAACTTACATTTATGTCACCCTTACTATGTGCCAGGCACTGTGCTAAGTGCTTCATAATTATTTCATCTCATTTGCTCCTCACAACAACCCTGAAAGGGAGGTGCTATTATTATCCCCATTTTCTAGATGAGGAAACTGAGGGAAATAGAATTCCAGTGACTTCCCCAAAGTCGCATAACTAGTCAGTGTCAGAGTCTGGATTTGAACTCAGGTTGGTTTGATGGACACAACACGGTGTCCAGGAGAATGAGCTGTGCAGTCAGAAGAGGGGGATTCACATCCTGACTGTGATAGTTCCTCGTGTAACTTTGGACTACTCACTTCACTCTTTGAGCTGCAGTTTCCTCATCTGTAGAGTGGACATAACACTTGCATTATCTACTTAGCAATGCTCAAAATATTACCAATTTTTATTTAAGTCAAAAAGCAGTTCTTTTATCCACCTGTCCAAGAGTCTGTAGGACATTCCCCCCTTTTTTTAGCTCTCTTTTAAGTATTGTTTTCCCCATTAGAATATAAGCCCATTGAGGGCAGAGATTGTCTTGCTTGCATTAGTATCACCAACTCTAAGCACAGGACCTGGCACATAGGAAGGGAATAAAAGATCCCTTTTCATTCATACAGTATGAAAGAATGCTATTGGGATAGCAATTTGGCCCAGGATAATTCCTGTCTGAGCCCCATGGAAAGAAATGAAAGGAATGAGATGATGATGATGGTGATGACAATGTGATGGTGATGCTATAGGTTTTGCAAGGAAATGATAGAAACTGTGTAGCATATCATTGAAAATTCAAAAAATACCAATGTTGAAAAAGACATGACCGAGAATTATACATGAGAAGCTCTCTGAATGAGTAACAGATAACAAATTCCTGTGTTTTAAATGTAAACCCCTCCCCCACAGTCAATCAGTCAACTAGTATTTATTAAAAGCACTTACTATGTGCCAGGCAGTGTATTAAGCATTAGGGATACAAAGAAAGATAAAAGACAGTCCTTGCCCTGAAGGAGCTCCTAACCTCATGGGGGCAGAGCCATACAAACAACTATGTGCAAACAAGCTGTATCCAGGGTAAATTAGTGGTAAACTCAGAGGGAAGGGATGAGCCTTAAAGGGGACCAAGAATGGCTTCTTGTGGAGATGGGACTCAAGTTGAAATATGAAGGGGGCCAAGAAAACTAGAAGGCAGAGATGAGGGAGCAGTGGAATCAAAGCATCATCAAAGATGAAACTGCTACTCATAATGCCAAAGTAGGATACGGATCTTTGAAAATTTGTGAATGCCTGGGTGTGGTGGTGCCATCCCAGCTTCTGGGGAGACTGAAGCTAGTGGGTTGCTCACATCTGGGAATTCTGAGCATCAGTAGGGCTAAAATTGATTGAGTATCTGCACTGACTGGCACCAATATGGCAAGCCCCTGAGAGCAGGGGCCCACCAGGCTGCCGAGAAGGGGTGAAATTATCACTGAGAAGGCCAAAGCTTCCCTCTGATTAGCAGCGGAATCGGTCCCATGAGTAGCTACTACACTTCCAGCATGTGTGAGGTAGGGAGAACCAGTTTCAAGAAACAAAACATAACAAAAGTCAAGAAAAAATGGAAAATTTATGAA